TCTTTCTCCCCTTTTAATCCTTGTTCCTTTTCTCTAATGCCTCTCATGCTCCCAATCTCTTTCGAATTCTGTTTTTGTCTCCGTTTTCAGTTGTTAAAGTAATGGAATATTAACAGACACACTGTCTCTCTCTCTCTCTCAGACTGAGAATGGCAGTGCCCTCCATGAGGCAGCCCTCTTTGGGAAGATGGATGTAGTTCGCCTCCTGCTCGGCTCAGGTGGGTCTATAAATGTATCCTGGCACAACACCTCTGTGACTGTTTGTTTGCTTGTGTGTGTGTGTTTGCCTGGGTTTCCCATCTGATTTTAATCTACAGTTAGTTGCTCTTTTGCCCCCAGATTGAGTGAAGTTGCCCTCAGGTGTACTGCACGCATTTGTCTGCTACAGTACGTTCTTTCACATGGTTAAATCCAGGTTTTCCAGTTATATTATTGTCTTGGCCATTTTCCTTTCAGTCCAATCAGTACTTGAATCATATTAAACTTAAATGAATGGAAGTTCAATCAGCTTAATAAAATTGAGTTCAATCATATTGACATGAATATAATTACATGGAAATAATTAGACTAAATTAAATTAATCAAATTGGGTGGCATGGTTAGCACTGTCCTTTCCAGGTCTGAACCTCTGCCTCTATGGGTTTTTCTGCAGGCACTTTGGTTTCTTCTCACACTCCACAGACATGTAGGTTGAGCTGATTGATGACTCTAAATTACCCATTGGTGTGAGTGTGCATGGTTTGTTTCTGTGTGTGTGTGTCAGCCCTGTGATAGACTGGTGACCTGTCTACAGGGCGGGTGAAAAGTAACTAGCCATTAAAAATTGGCTCTAGAACTTGTAGTATCACTATTTACGATAGTAAATGTTTACTATCATAAATAGGATTTCATATGAGGTCCTATTTACTATCATCAATGTAGAGACTGTTTTCATCATGACTCCAGTGATACTCTAAGTTTTATTGCCAATTTTAATGCCTAGTTAATTTTCACCTACCTTGTAGTGCAGGGGTGTCAAACTCAATCGCACAGGGGGCCAAAACTCAAAGCACACTTTAGGTCGTGGGCCGAACAGGATAAACATTTATTCAACAGACTAAAACTAAACATTTTTTGAACATAAATATGAATTGAAACAGACAGGATACAATATTATTCCAAAATAAAGAAACTTGAACTTCAAATCAGCAGCCATATTTCTGCTAAGGCTTACATTTACAAACACCTACTTTTTGTCTGGCCACCAGACGTCTCC